TTTTGCATGTATGTTAACTTTGTTTCAATGATCTTACCTGATAAAGTACACACACTCTTCAAGATGCTGATTTGGATCAAAAGCCATGCAAGAAGAACTAAATGAGTTTGAAAGGCACAAAGTTTGGACTCTTGTCCCAAGACCATCCGGGAAAACTATCACTGGAATTCGCTGGGTCTATCGTAACAAGGTTGATAAAGATGGAATCATCACTCGCAATAAGGCAAGGCTTATAGCTCAAGGGTTTACTCAAATTGAATCCATCGACTACGGGGAAACTTTTGCTCCAGTTGCTCGCATTGAAGCTATCAGACTGTTTCTCGCATACGCATCCTACATGAACTTCATTGTCTATCAGATGGATGTGAAAACAGCATTCCTTCATGGTGTGTTAGAAGAAGAAGTATTCCTAAATTAGCCCCCAGGATTTGTGGACAAAGATCATCCTGATTACGTGTACCGGTTAGACAAAGCTGTTTATGGACTGAAACAAGCTCCCAGGGCTTGGTATGAGACACTGACATCGTATCTGCTTGAAAATGGATACAGACGAGGAGCAATCAACAATACTCTCTTCATCAAAAACAAAGGCTCAGACATGGTTCTTGTTCAAATTTATGTCGATGACATCATTTTTGGCTCTCCAAATGAGACACTGAGCAAGGAATTTGCAGAGATCATGTCTCAAAGGTTCGAAATGAGCATGATGGGGAAGATGACCTTTTTCTTAGGTCTTGAAGTTCAGCAACAAAAGACAGGTATTTCCATTTGTCAAAGTAAATATATATCTGACCTGCTTGTTAAGTATTCTCTCAGTGACTGCAAACCAGCCTCTACTCCAGTGTCTAAGACTGATAAGATACACGCTGATCCAACTAGAACTGATGTCAATCACTCACTGTATCGAGGAATGATTGGATCACTCTTATATCTCACAGCAAGTCGTCCTGATATTATGTTTGGAACCATTCTCTATGCTCGATTCCAAGCTAATCCAAAAGAATCTCACCTCATGGCTGTCAAACGTATTTTTCGATACTTGAAGGGAACTCAAAACCTTGCTCTATGGTATCCTCGTGACTCAGCATTTGAACTTTATGGATACACTGACTCAGATTATGCTGGATGCAATTTAGACAAAAAGAGTACATCTGGTGGATGTCACTTCCTTGGCAATCGTCTCATCAACTGGTCTAGCAAGAAACAAACATCAGTAGCCATCTCAACTGCAGAAGCTGAGTATGTTGCCGCTGGGAGATGTTGTGCTCAGCTCTTATGGATTCAAAATCAGCTTGTCGACTATGGGTTCAAGTTCTCAAAGACTCCCATATACTGTGACAACACCAGTGCCATTCAGATCACACAAAATCCTGTTCAGCACTCAAAGACAAAGCATATTGAAATCAGACATCACTTCATCAGAGATAATGTTGAAAAAGGAAAAGTTGTTCTTGAACATGTCAAGACTTCGGAGCAACTTGCTGATATCTTCACAAAGGCACTGGATTCTCAATCAACTGCTTACATTATCGGAGAACTGGGAATGATTTCCTTATAATTAATTTTGACGTTTAAATTGTGATAATGTTTGATATTGTCTTATAAGCTGATGTACATTGTGCTGATGATGACATACTAATGATATTTGCTACTGAGCATTTTGATTTGATTTCTTATCTTTATCTCTTCTTCAAGTCTTCTAAACAAAAGTTGAATGATTCACTGTATTGAACCATACACTGATAACGACTTGAAACTCTTTGCCGATGGTTAGATCAAAACACCAAGATTTATCACACGCAACTACCCCTTCTCACCAATCTTACACTGATTCTATGATTCAGTGTGCCAAAACACACACTGATGAGAATCTAAAAATATTTGCCGATGGTTAGATCAAAACACCAAGATCTATCACACGCAGCAATCCATTCTTTACCCTCCTCTTATTCAGTGTCTAATGATTCAGTAAGATAAAACACTCACTGATGAAGTCACAAAACTCTGTGCCGATGGTTAGATAATGTAACTAGTATCTATCACACGCACCAATCTCCTTGCTAGCCCCGATTAAGCAAGTTGTACCTTGAATTGATGGAGATATATTCTCAGCACGTAACTTTTGTGACACTGAGCTCAGCGCTTCCGCAAACACTGATTGACGTTTCACCTTCAGTCAACGGCTCTTTTATCCAACGGCTATTTTCTACTCTGACAGGTTGTTACGGTGCACTGTTATTCTTAAGAAAGATAATTATTACCTTTTAAAAACCCCCTTTTCATTCCATATTTAAACCTCTTTCTTCCTTGGTTTAATTTTTCCTTCCAAAACCTTGAACTTTTCTCAAAAACCCTAGAATTCTCAAATACTCTCCAATGGCGGCATCTCTGTTCACATACTCCTCAACCTCTCGAAGAGTCGTTCCTGCCCCAAACTATCCTGCACTTCCAATTCACATCAAGGCAACCAATGTCGTCTTCAACCCTGACATTCCAGAGGTTCATCGAGGTCTTGGACTCGATGATTTCGTCAATTTCTTGGCTTCTTGCCGCCTTCGATATGCAATCAGTGATGTACCGTCCGAGTTCTTCCCTGAACAAGTATGTGAGTTTTACTATACTGCAACAGTTAATGAAGAAAACAATGCCATCACCGGAACCATTGGTCATGGCAGACACTCTGTCTTCATCACTGCAGAACTACTCAGTGCTGCTTTAAGGTTACCAATTTTCGAACCCTTTTCTGAACCTCCAACTATTGAAAAATGTAAACGAATATTTGATCAACTGGGCTATGATCATTCAAAGGCTGGTACTCGATCAGCTCTTATTTTACGTCAATGCATGACCCCAGGCTGGAAGTTTTTCACTGGTGCTTTATGCAAGTGTGTGGGTCACAAGTCTCGCAGTGGTGATCAATTGAGCAATTATGAGCAACAAGTCGTCTGCTCCCTTCTTCTCAACAAAAGACTAGATTATGGGGCACTATTCTTTGATCAGCTTGTTCAGCTTCTACGTGCAAATGTGCGTGCTGATCATGTTCCCTTTCCACGTTGGATTGCCCTGGTGTTCGACAAATTCTTCGTTGCTGACTACTTTTCTCACTCTGGGAATCCAATCCAATGCCCTCGAATGTCCGTTCGTATATATCAGGATGATCCTTTGGATACTGACATTGGAATCTCCGATAGGATGAGAGAATGGATTGCTAATCCATACACTATGCCTTCTCTCTCCGCTGACACTGATGAAGAAGGTGCTGATGGTAATCATATGGATCGTGCTGATCAAGAGGTGGAACATCATGATGGCGGCCATTTCTCCCCTCAACTTTCTCATCACCTTACCTCGGCCACTGGCAACGCCTCCTCAGCACCACAGGATTCCATGCCTCTGGGGGGGGCAACCATCACAGGGGGAGCATCAGTCTCAGGGGGAGCATCCATCACCAGCAGCTCACCACTTCTCTCCAAGGATGAAACCTAGCTCTCCAGTTGCCCCAGGTACCTCAATGGTTCAAATTCCCGCTTCAGCATTTTCTGAACTGATGTCACTGACTCGGGACATGAGTCAGCGTCTGCTTCGTATTGAGGCTGATGTTCAACAAATCAAGGAGGCCTCTCTTACTTACTCCTCCCTCTAGTCCCAAATCTAATGATGTTCAAAAAGGGGGAGATACTGATAATGATAATGATGCTGATGCTGATGGTGAACCAAATGCTCATGCTGATAGTGAACCAAATGAGAAAGACACAGAACCTACTGACAACACTATCTTTCAGCATGAATCACCCAACCCCATTCCTGAATCTGATTCTGCGGGGCATAATAGTCCAGCAGCTTCTGAAATTCCTGAATCTGATTTTGCGGGGCATAATAGTCCAGCAGCTACTGAAAAATTGTTTGAAGACAGTGAGCATGAAGAACCTGATGATGAATGTCAAATTCTTGACATGAACTTCATTGATCCTCTCATTCTAGTTCAGCAAGAAAGCTTAGATGACCTTGAAGAATCTCATCCGATATTAGCCGATCTTATTGCTGATCCCATCATTCCGGTCCAAGGAGAGGATTCGGACATTGCCAGTGAAGAATCTCATCCGCTGTCTCGAAAGTGGAAGGTAGCAGATACTGACTTGGATCATTCTCAAACTGATACTTCTTCAACCGTGAACAAACCCAAGTCCATTGTCAGTATTTCAAACCTTGCCACTGAATGGAACATGTCCCCTGATCAAGTCAAGCAAATTCTTGATGAAGCCAATCAAGCTCAGCTTCTAAAGAACATTGCTCAAGCTGATGAATCTCTTATTCAGCACAAACTTCAGGCCAAGGGATCTTTTGAAGCTCAGATGCAGAAGTTCCTGGAATTTCAGTCCAAGGCTCAGTCTTCTCAACCTCCTCCTAGCTCTAGCAAGCCTAAGACTGACAGTGTTCTTGACCGGATTGATCGAAAGAGATTTGAAGATGTTTTTAATCGGCGAATGTGTGGAGATAAGATCATCAAAGTCAAAGCTTCTAAACCTCGAAACGAGAAAATCCTTACGTTGCTGATCACTCGTCAAGGTCCTCAGCACTCATATACTGAAGTTGTCAAGAGGGATGAGCTGATTAGATATGGGTATTCGGAATGGATGGAACTGCTCGATCTTGCATCCAAGCAAACCTCAGCTCACTCTTCAGAACTGACTTGTGCTCTTCATCTGCTGATCAAGAAAGTTCAGCGTTTGGATCTTGTTCCTAAAGAACGACCTCAGCATCAAGGCCAAAGGTCGTCAGTTCCTAGATCTCGAAGAACCAAGTTTCATGTTGATGGTGAAGATGTATTGGTTCTAGACTTTGGTGCTGGTGTAATTAACAATTCACTTCCTCTAGGTGTTGATCCGGTTCAACATCAATTCATCTCAGCTCCTGAACACGGGATGTTCTATCTAGACAAAAACAGGAGGATGTGCTTTCAACGAACTACTGATATCCCAAAGGATCCAACCACTCACCTTGTTGGCTTAAGTCAAATGTGCATGAGTCATCAAGATCTATCCGGAGAATTTCACATTCTTATTACCATGGAGCTGCTGAACAGAAGACAGGAATTGTTGGACAGTCCTTACTGGCCAGTTAAAATTGAAGCTGAAGCTGAGTATGAAGAATTTCTTTCCAGAGGTGTCTTTATTTAGTTTGTTTTGAACATCATCATATTGGGGGAGATTGTAAGGTCAAACCTCGAAATATGATTATGTTTAAAACAGACTCAGCGTCAGCACATGTCTCAGCATCAACACTAGCATGTAACTGCTCAGTTTAGTTTATTCAGTGCATTGTAACAAATCATGTATTTATTCTGTTTCCTTAGCTATCTTGATTTATTAGCTAGCATATCCCTGAATTGTAGGGATTGTCTAGAATGACAGTATATATATTATCTTGTACAGGTTTGTGGATTGCTACGCCTTTCACAAACCCTAATTGCCGCTTTGTGCACACGATAATCTCTTTGTGAGATTATCTTTCTTAGTGAAAGTTCTTCTTTGTGAATTTCTCTTGTTCTTGTTTATTGTCCTTGTTTGATATATCGATTGATCTAAAGGACTCTTCAGAACCATGTAAATGTGTTCCACCAAGTCATTGCGAAGATTGTGAAATGTTTCAGTGCAACATATCTCTGCTCTCCTGTTTATATACTCTTCGCCACCAATTTCTATTGGCTGTGTCTCTGGTATGATTTCTTCCTCGTCAAACGCACATATCGCTCTTCCTTCGTCTTCAATAATCATGTTATGAAATATAATACATGTATACATGATTTCTTGAAGTTTTTCCTCGCCCAAATAAGCTGCTGGTTTTTTCAATATGAATCACCGTTTCTTCAGAGCTCCAAAAGCACACTCAACATCCTTCCTAGCTCTTTCTTGAGCTCTCTTGAATTTCTTTCGTCTAGAACCATGTGGAGCTGAAAACGATTTAACAAACACAGCATACTCAGGATAGATTCCATCGACCAGATAATAACCATACTTATATGGCGTTTCATGCACTTCAAAAGAAGAATCTGGTGCGGATCCATCGTATATGTTGTTAAATATTGGTGAACAGTTAAGAACGTTGATGTCGTTAATCGAACCAGGAGAACCAAAAAAAGTATGCTAAATCCACGTATCTTGTGATGCAACTGCTTCAAGTATTACCGTTGGGTGACCATGATCACCTCGGGTAAATTGCCCATGATATGCTGTAGGGCAATTTTCCCATGCCTAATGGAGACAATCTAAGCTTCCTAGCATTCCAGGAAACCCATGCACACTAGCATGATGAGCTTGCAATTGCAGGATATCATTACGTGTAGGCTTACGTAAATATTTTGGACCATAAAACTGAATCACAGTTTTGCAGAAAAAATAGAGACTGTCTCGTGCTATCCTAGCAGACATCCTAAAACTTTCGTCTAACGCATCAGGCGGAATGCCATATGCTAACTGACGAATTGCGGGCGTGCATTTTTGTAAGGGAGTGAAACCGGGTGTACCTTTAGCATCATAGCGTTGTTAGAAAAAACTGCACTCCCTCGTTACATCTTCAACTATACGTTCGAGTAAACCTTTGAGCATTCTGAAGCGCCAACGAAAATAATACCCTTGGTAAGTGGCATTCTCTGCAAAATAGTCTTGCACCAAACGTTGGTTGGCTTCTTCACGATTTCTGTAAATATATCTTCGTGTTCTCTGTTGAGAACTTGCAGCTGCGTTGTTACATACAACGTTGTATGTTTGTTCCGCCATTTGAACACACGCAATAGCGGTATCAAAAATAGTCTGAAATTCTTCAGAAAATGACATTTTTTGGAGAGTGGTGATTTAAAAAAAAAAAAAAAAAAAATTTGAGAGAGAGAAGATTGTGTTTTGAAAAAAAATCAGTTTGATATGTGTATATATATAGGAAGGAAAGAAAAAGCAAAAGGGAAAAAAAATAATAAAAAAAATATAAACGAATATTGCATTCAACGGTCAAAAAAATGACCAACCAATCACATTTCACGGTCTTCAAAGGCCGCACCGCGGTCTTATCCGCAGGAAACCGCACCCTGAAGGCGGTGTTCCCTGCTGAGGTGGCAGCCAAGTGCGGTTTCAAACCGCACCACACCGTGCAGCCTTACAAGCTTCTTTCCACTATCCTTGAAGGCATTTCCTAGGTATGCAACACTTAAGTCAATCCAAATTACACTACAACTTTTTGTTGATATTTAATATATTTTTTTTTTATATATAATAATTATAAACATATTAACCGTAGTTTCGACGGGTTATAACCTAGTGTGTGTGTGTATATATATATATATATATATATATATATATATCAAATTTCATTTTTTGGAGCGTGGCCCTAGATTTTCTTTTTGACAAGTGAAGAATTTAAAAGACTCCCACAATCTCAAGAAGAATTCCTAGAGCAACCTTTCTACTTAGATGAAATAAAAAAAGTTGTTTAACGTTGTGATTCTTAAATTCTCGTTTGCATTTATAAAACAGTTTTTGGATATTATTTGTAGCGACTCCTACATTGTTGTCAAGCACTTTGAAAAGGTGGAATTATTAATAGGGCCTGCAACTCTTCTTTCATAATCCTAGTACTAAAAGCTAGTGGTCCAACAACATTTGATGAATTCTGGCCCATAAATGTTGGAGGAAAGGCTCAAAAAAGTTAACCAATGTTGTTGTCATTCATTCACAAACAACTTTCGTAAAAACTAGACACATTCTCAATGGACTACTAGTTGTTAACGAAGTGATCACATGGTTGAAAAAGAGCAATTTCAATGTTGTTATCCACGCTAACCCTATTTTTACCATATCAGCAAGAGGGTCTTAAAATATATTAACAAAAAAAATTCATTGTAATCACACATTTGAAATACACAGATGATGTAATCTTAATCGGGAGTTAGGGATTCTTAGATGCTACAAATTAGCATTTGGTTTAAAAGTTAACCCGACCAAAAGCACATTTTTGGCTTTGGTACAGTTCCCTTAGAGCTTGATCTGGTTACTCGAAGTTTGAATTGTGGAGTGGGTAGATTACTATTCACATACTTGGGACTTCTAGTAGGTGCCACAATATCTAGTGTATCCTATTGGACCCTAGTGATCGATAAATTCCTGGAAGTGCTTTCCAAATGGAAAGCAGCCACACTCTTCTTTTGGTATCATGTCATCTTATACAAAGAAGTATTGGGAAACCATGGTACGTATTTCTTTTCTATTTGTAAAGATCCTATTAATATACATAAAAGTATTGAAAGGATTAGATGTAGACTTTGTTGGGGGTGGATCTTTGAGCAATAAGAAGATGACATGAATTGTACGGGAGAAAATACTAGCTCCAAAGGCACGTATTGGGTTAGGAATTGGGTTTTTGAAGGCATAAAACCGTGCTCTTTTATTGAAGTGGTGGTGGAGGTTTCGAACTTGTGGATCGCAAATATGGACCGAAAT